GCTAAATTAGGAAGGAGCATCGCTCTGGTGCAGTGCAAAAACGTTATACAATCTTACTAGCTTTATATATATTCTTCCTCCCCCTCTCCTTACATGTATGCGCCTAAATCCATGTATACACATACCCACAAAGCGAGAGCAAGTATTTTCCATCCAGGCGCATCCGTCAGTGCGTCCGCGGGCACGCTAGATGTGTATTTGGTTTCGCGTAGCTTTAGATCGGACAAATCGAGCGAACGCAGTGGCTAAATCTCCTCCCTCTGTAAAATTCTCATAGATCGGCATCATAAAAAAGACGTATAAAAGCACCCAGCAAGCATCCTCTGTATTTGTTTTCCTCGGCACTAATATTGTCCACGACCTTCACGCAGCTACACAGATGTAGACAGCAAAACACACATATATCAGTTTACACGGACACCAAGACGTCCGTGTACGTATTACTGGGCTTCCGACTCCTGATACGCTGGTGATCAACAGCAGCTGGAGAGGAAGCCGCAAACGTGCGAGGAGTCATATCGTAATAACAAACAGACAAGCGTCCTCTGCATCGGCACGGGAAATATGCGAACGTACGAACACTGACACGATCGTAACAAGCGCTTTGTGCATCACTCTACTGTATATTTGTATACGCATGCACGTATATACAGATGTATGTCCATATACTCGCACATACGCACATACATATACATATACCAGTTGCACACAGATCTGTATTGCACCGCCACGGGGAGAAGCAAAGTACCATGATTCATACGGTCGTTACAGGCAGACAAACGTCTTCCACGGCATCGGGATGATTTACTCAAGTACAAAGATTCGTGCGATCGTAATGGCAGACCGACAAGGGGCTCCTGCGTTGAGACAAGGAAATAACGGGAGTACAAACATTCATGCAGTCGTAATAACAGACAGACAAACGCCTTCTGCACCAGCGCGAGGAAGAAGCAAGAGGACGGATGTTCATGCGATCGTCGTAACAGACACAGAAGCGTCTTCTGCATTGACAGTTGGCGGTTTCCTTCCCACACATATGCGCAGTTGTTAACCAGGTCGTCGCTCTCACTCGAAACATGCACATGCTTAGCTAGAAGCAACACACGTCCTCCACCATATGAGAGGTGCGCGAGTCAGCGCGGAATGCGTGCACTCTCTGATACCCCTCTAGACGTTTGTCCGCCTTTCTGGCGAGACTAAGTGGTGGTAACCAGCTGACTTAAGGCTGGCGCGCAGTAGCAGCAGCAGCAGCAGTAGCGGCAACAGCAGCCGCAGCAGCGAGAGCAGAGGCGGTGATTCCGCTTTCCTGAAGGGCTTCACTGCATATTGGGGTCCAGCAGCGTGTGCTGCTTCTCTTGACAGGCCCACCTCCCTATGTACTACCAGGAATTTCCTCGTTGCTATCGTATCCCAATACTGTTGTAGACAGGGCTGTCCCTGCTTTGTGGACTGATGCAGCTCCCGTGCAGAGAACTGCCACTTACGTAGCTGATCCTGCTGCTGTGGCTAGCTGCTAGGTTGCTTCCTCTGCTATGTGGGCTGCTGGTGCTGCTGCCGTGGCTAACTGCTAGGTTGCTTCCTCTGCTATGTGGGCTGCTGCTGCTGCTGTGGCTAGCTGCCAGCTTGCTTCCCTCTGCTGTGTGGGCTGCTGCAGCTGTGGCTAGCTGCTAGGTTGCTTCCTCTGCTATGTGTGCCGCTGCTGCTGCTGCTGTGGCTACCTGCGCGGTCTCTTCCTCTGTCATACAAGCCGCTGACAGCTTCATCTTCTTCTTCCGGCCGCGCCTGCAGAGTGCTTACCCCACTATCGGCAAGAGCATCCGCAGCAGCGTCTCGGCCAGGCGCTCCGGCAGCAGCAGCAGCAGCAGCGGCGGTGGCATCTCCGCCAGGAGGACAACAGGCAGCAGCAGCAGCAGCGTCTCGGCCAGGAGGATCACTGGCAGCAGCAGCAGCAGAGGCGACACCTTCACTGAGTCGCGGCGTCGACAGCTGCACATCTGTATTTCCAGCTCCGTCAGTGGCTGCTGCCTGGCTGAGAGGCTCTGAGGCTAGTGCATCATCCGCAGCATTTGCTTGTTCATCAGCAGCGACTGCTGCTGCTGCAGCATGGGCTACTCCGGCTGCTCCTATTTCGTATGCTGCGTGCCAGGTGTTGCGCTACAATCGCTGCTGTGCGTAGCTGGTGCTATCAGCACTGCTGCTGCCGCTGCTGCTGCCACTGCAGCTGAGACTTGTGCTGCTGCCGCTGCTGCTGGGCCGCGGACTGCTGTTGTTGCTTTGAAGGCAGAAGTTTCCTACTGGAAAATAGGGCGTCTCTTCGCCCACGTCCGTCTGCTGAAGCTGCTGCTCATCTGCAGGAGAAGCGAAAGGCAAGTGCAGCGCTGGCTGCGTCTGATAGCGCTGCTGCTCCTGCAGCAGCAGCAGCGGCTGCTGGTGCTCCTGCTGCTGCTCCTCTGACGGATCTACATTCCAATCCATAGAAGACACGGCTGCCCGCAGAGTGCATGTAGGTGTTGCTGCTCTTGCTGCTGGTGTCCATTGTTCATAGGGAGGAACTAAATACTCATCGGCACAACAATAACTGCTGCTGCTGCTGCAGTTATCAACACCTCCGTCTTCAAAGCAGCTTCTCCTGCTTGAAAACGTGCGTCGACTGCTGCAGCAGCTGCTGCTCCTGCTGCTTGCGCGGCCACTGCTGCCGCTGCTGCCCTGACTGCTGCTGATTCTGCAGCCGCTGCTGCTCTGGCTGCTACCAGTGATGCAGCGGTCATCGTCCCATCAATAACAGGCGAATGCACAACAGCAGCCAGACAGTCCCCAGAGAAGCTGCAGCTGTTTCCCTCGGGCGTGCTGCTGCGCTCCCCTGCTGCTGCTGTCGCTGCTGCTGCGCTCCCTGCTGCTGCTGCCGCTGCTGCTGCTGCTGCTGGCTGCTGCTTCGTCCCCTAGATGCTGCTGCAGGACGCGTACGCAGCAGCACCGCCCCCTCCTCCTCCTCCTCCTCCGCCTGTGTGGCTCTAAACAGACAATTTTCTGCGTAATCAGCCGCTTCCAACTCACAACTAGACAGGTGAGAATGTTCTAAAGCATTTGTATGTCTCAGCGGTTGCTGCTGCGGCTTCTGCTGCTTCTTCTGGGCAGCGGCCTTATCAGGAGCGTGCGGAACACATGCATGGACCTGCCGCTTCTCCTGCGTAGTCTTTTCGCCCTCACTGCTGCTTATACTCGTCTCGCTATCGCGGCTGCTGCTGCGGCACTTATTCCTTTGCTTACTACTACTCTCACTGCTATTACTACTACCGCTCCGACGACGACAGCTGCTGCTGCTGTTGCTGCTGCAGTCTGCTGCGCAGTCGCCCCCGTGACAGGGCGGGAAGCCAGCTGCGGCGGTTATACCGCCTACATAGAATGTATGAAGGTTCTTCTTCTGCCTCCTGCTGCTGTTGCTGCTGTGGGTGGTATGCTTCTGCTGCGAAGGTTGCTGCAGCAGCGGACGGCCGAGAAAGTCATGCTGCGCAGCAGTAGATGCCTCACACACTGGCCTGCTGCTGTCGCCTTCTTTCTGCGCAGCAGCCACCTCATCAACTCCTCCTGTCTCAGCGGTAGTCGTATGTGGCGCCTTTGTGTCTGTAATGCTGCGGCTCTTGTCGTTGTTGTGTTTGTCTGTCTTATGTCTCCCTAGTCTGTTGCTGCTGTTTCTGCGAGTATTGCTGGTGCTGCTGCTGCTGCTGCTGCCGCTGCTATCTGTTCTGTCGCAGCTGTCTCTGGTCCTGTCTGCGGTACCGCTGCTGCTGCTGCTGCCGCTATTCCCGGTGCTGCCACCGCTGTCTCTGCTCCTATCTCTTACGCTACCACAGCTGCTGCTCCGTCTGCTGCTGCCGCTTCCCCCGCTGCTTCTTCTTCTACTTCTTCTTCTGCCTCTTCTCCCTCTGTAGGTGTTTCTATCGGGTCTGGCGTCTCCTGCATCGATGCTGGATTTATTTGTAGGAGCATATGCGGCGAGACACAGCAGCTGGCAGGAAGGATGAGGGACCCTCTGCTGCTGCTCCTGCTGTATATGAAGCTTCTGCTGCTGCTCTATATGAAGCTGCTGCTGCTGCCGCCGCTGGCGAGAGAGGGCAGCAAGGAGGCTGCGCATCTTCTGTTTCTTCCGCATCCATAAGTACGTAGAAGCAGCGACGCTGAGAACGAGTCGATGGACCTGCAGCACCACGTGCTGCAGCTGCTGCATTTCTGATTTCTCTGCCCATTGCACGACGCGCTGCAGCAGCAGACTCTGGCTGCTGCTCGTGCTGCTCATGCTTGAGTTGCTGCTGTCGCCACTGCTGCATCTGCTGCTTGGCGGCAAGGACACACAACTATCGAGAGGCAAGAGCAGCTGCTGTGCTTGTTGTAAGGCCGCCCCTCGGCCGCTGCCGCTAATGCTGCTGGTTCTGCTGCTACCATCAATGTTGCTGCTGTTGCTGCTGCTGGTGCCGTAAAAAACCGTCCTTTTGCTGCCTGCGGTAACAAGGGAGCCGCCTAACAGTTGCATTCTCATTTGCTGCTGCTGCTCCTGTTGCTGCTGCTCCTGTTGCTGCTGCTTGTGTTGCTGCTGCTGGTGCTGCTGTTGCTGCTGCTGTTGCTGCTGCTGCATGGACGAAGCGCTGATTATATCTCCTTCTTCTCCACCGTCACACAGAGGGATGATTGAATGGGTGATTGGCGTCTGTTGCTGGAGATGAATTAGCAGCTGCTGCACTTTTCTTGCTGATATGAGAGGTGTGTCTGCTCCCACAGAGCAGCGCCTGCTTCTGAGACTATCTATGTGCGGGAGGACTGCCTGGCTGCTGCTCTGTGATGCGCGTGTTGACGTCTCCGCCTGTTGCTGCACTGCTGCGGCAGCCGAAGCTGCTCTGTCTCTCGGCGAAACGGCCGCCCCTACCGGAGACGCTGCTGCACCAGAAGAAGAAGAAGAAGCACTTGTTGCTGCTACTGCTATTGCTACGCTTTGAAACCCTCCACACATATTACGCTGCTGCTGAAGCTGCTGCTGCTGTGGGTGCTGCTGCTGCTGCGGCTTCCGTCGGAAGTAGAGGCAGTACTGCCTCAGAGCCTCTAGGACAAAGGCCAGTAGTTGTCTGCTGCGTTGCTGTAGTTGCTGCTGCAGCACCTTTTCCTGCTGCTGCAGCTCATGAGTGTGGCGCTGCCGCTCTGCTGCGCGTGCTGCATGTAGTTCATCCATCTCCTGCTGATGTCTCTGCAGCAGTCGCTGCTGCTGCAAGGCGTGCTGCTGCTGCTGTCGAAGCAGCCGCCGTTGCTCGTCTACCTGCTGCTGCAGCTGCTTCTCCTGCTCCACCTGCTGCTGCAGGACGTCCTGTAAATGCTGCACCTGCTGCTCTGCTGCTGTTCGCCCTTGTCTTTCAAACGAAACTGCTGCTGCTGCTGCTGCCCATCCCTCTCGCAGATCTCGGACCTGCTGCCGCAGCTCCTGCAGCAGCTGCTTCTGTGGCCAAAGCTCCCTACCTGAACTTCTCTCTGTCCCCACTGCGGCTGCTGCGACGCTTGCTGCTGCATCTTGCGCAGTTCCCTCTTTCCTTCCGCGTCCTCCTCCTCCTGCTGCTGCTGCTGCTCCTGCTGCTGCTGCTGCAGCGCTCAAAAGACCCCATGAACCCCCTTTTTCTTCCTTCTTTCCTAGTGATCCTCTCTTTGTTGCTACAGCAGCAGCAGCAGCGACACTATTGCCGCGTGCTTCTCGTCTTCCCGGTCTTCCTCTAGCCGGTGCTGCTGCTGGTGCTCCCTCTTGTGAAGCAGCTCCCTGCTGCTTCTGATGCTGCTTCTTCTGCTGTGCATAGACGCCAACGCTATGTCGTCTCCGCTTCTTTTTATTCTTCTTCATGTCTGGGCCGCATAATGGAGAACCGTCGGCAGTAACTCTTCCGCGAGCAGTTGCTGCTGCTGCTGCTGCAGGCGGAGGTGCTGACGCTCTTCTTAAGGCAGTAGGCGACGCCAGAGGCGCAACTGCAATAGGACTGCTGCTCCTGCTGCTGCTGCTGCTGCCTCTACACAATTTGTCTTGCTGCTGCAGCTCCTCAGATGTGCTCAAGAAACTTTCACTAAGACTGCTGCTGCTGCTGTTGTCGCTGTTCGCGACACTGCCACGACCGTTGCCGTTGCTGCTGCTGCTGCTGGTGCTGCTGAGGCGTTTGCTGCTGGTCTGACTTGCTGCTGCTGCTGCTGCTGCGGCCGCACTAATAGCATGGAGTCCCTCTTCTGCTTCTTTTGCTGCTGTATTTGAGCAGTGAACAAGCTGGAGCAGCAGTGCAGCAGCAGTCTGAGCCGCCTCCCCCCCTCCTGCCGCTGCTGCTGTTGTTTCCTGCTGCTTTCCTTGGTGTAGAACTGCTATTGTAGCTGCAGGCCTCTCAGATCCACACAGCAGCAGCAGCTGCGGCAAAGCTTGCTGCTGCAGCAGATTCGCTAGTGAAGCAATTTCCCGCAGTATGTGGAGCTGCTCTCGCTGCATATCTCCTACTTGTTCTATTTGCTGCTGTTGAGCTTCTTGCTGTCGACACTGCTTCTCCTGTTGCTGCTGCTGCTGCTTCTGCTGCTCCTGCTGCTCTTTCTCCAACTCCCGCACCCGCAGCCGCAACTCTACACATTTCAGGGCTTGTAGTTCTGCGTCTTCCCTTTGTAGCAGCAGCTCGGCGTCTGCTGCTTTACCTTTGCTGCGGGCCTCTTCCAGCTGCTGTTGCATCTGCTGGAGGACTGTCTGCAACTCCTCCTGCTGTTGCTGCTGCTGGTGCTGCTTGCTGCAGTCGTTTTCGCTGCTGAATCCGCAGCTGCTGCAGCTGTTCCGCCGTATCGCGCCGTTGCTGCCGCACCTCCCGGAGCTGCTGGCGCTGCTGCTGTACGAGTTGTTCTTGCTCTGTTAGCAGCTGCCGCTGATGGGAACATTCGTGCCGCTGCTGCTGCAGTTGCTGCTGTGCTGCCTCTACTTGCTGTTGCAACTGCTGAATCTGCTGCTGCAGCCCCTCAATCTGCTGCCCTGCATGCGCCACCTGCTGCTGCAGCTCTTCTTCATTCGCCTGCTGTGTCGCTTGCTGTCGCTGCTGCTGCAGCTGCTGCTGTTGCAGCTGCTGCTCCGCCATCACCAACCGCTGATGCAGCACGAACACTTCTCTCTCGTGTTGCTGTTGCTGCTGCTGCTTCTCTGTTGCTGCTGCTCTCAGCTGCGTCTCCATCGTACGCAAAGCAGACGCTGCTGCTGCTGAGGCTGCGCACGCGCTGCGCTTCTGCTGCTCTTCCTGCTGCTGTTTCTTCTCTAGCTGCTGCAGCAACACATGATGCTGCTGCTGCAGGTCAATCCATCGGTCATGACATTCCTACATACATATATACACAACACATACCGCCGCAATAGCTACAGATGGACCTCTGCGCTTGGGGAAACCATCGGGGACACGTATATATATATATATATACATATATATATACGTATATATATACACAGGTACAGAGACATATGAAGCTGTACACCTGCTTGGGTGCGCCTTCACACATATATATGCCTGATAGACAACGCAGCAGCAGCAGATTTACCAGAAAGCAAAACCTCGGTCTATTCGTGGGCTGGGGCGACCAGCGTAAGGACACCTTATGTACTTATAACATCTGCAGATACGTATATATATGGAACCATTAAGTTACATATATGGACATGTATACGAATAGACATCTGTATATATAGGGCGACAGATGGATAGAGAGGTACATAGTTTTATACATAAATATGCGTATGTAGTTTTACACGCATACAAGTCTACGTTGGAGTGCTCACCTAGGTGAAGCCGTACACATGAACATATACTGCGTGGTGGCGGAAGGCGTGGCCCAATACATATACACACATACGTGATGATAAATAGGTATGCCTGTTCACGTGTATACGGCAGTCTACAGTGGCGCGCATCCGTGCGGGAATTGAATGCTCCACATAGACGCAGACGCTGTGGAAAGACACAGTACCTACACATACGTACACAAACGTATATACATATATATATATATATATATAAATATATATATATGGATATGCAAACGTATATATACGTATATGGACAGACAGAGTGAATATATATATATATATATATATAGAGACAGACAGAGTGAGAATGATGAAGAGAGAGAAGAGAGAGACAGACTGCCCATATATCCGCACAAGCCTGCAAATATGTATGCGTATGTACACATATGTATACAGATACATTCACACACGTTCTGTACATAAATGTAGTTAGTGTGCAGGGACACAGAGACCGCGGTAGCTTCATATGTACATGTCAGGCAGCCTACCTGCAGCCGTTTGGAAGATGTAGCGAGAGCCGCTTCCAATATTTGTCGCTGTGCTACTGCATGCTGCAGCAGCAGCTGAAGATGTTGTGCATCTTCAATTTCTCCTGATTCTTCCATCTTGTTGTTCTCCCTACTAGTTTCAAGGCTGCTGCTCATCATGCAGACGTCGCCTCTCCTGCCACTGTTGCTGCTGCTGCTGCTGTTGCTGCTGCTGCTGCTGTTGCTGCTGCTGCTGTTGCCGCTGCTGCTGCTGCTGTTGCTACTGGTGCCCGTGCTGCTGCCGCAGGTGTTGCTGTTGTTGCTGTTGCTTGTGGCTGGTCGGCCATGTAGCGACAGAGAAGCAGCAGACGGTCCGCCTCTTCCTCCTCCCCCTGCTGCTGCAAACAATTGTCTAGGACAGAGACTGCTGCTGTTGATTTGTGGTGTGAATCTGGGTCCTTTCTATATACCACGAATTCTTTTGTACTGTGCTGCCGCTGCTGCTGCTGCTGCTGCTGTACCTGACTATCCTGCTGCTTCTGCTGCTCCTCTGCCCTGCTTCTTCGCCTCCTCTAGCAAGGTGTGCTGGCCTTCCTGTGCGGCCTTTGCGCCCTGCTGCATGTGAAGAGAATGTGCCAGGTGTTGCTGTTGCTGTTGCAGCAGCTGTTGCTGCACTTGTCGCTGTAGCTGTTGCTGCAGTTGCTGAACAACACGGTCTGTTTCTTCTGCTTGGTCCTGCAAAAGCTTGTTTTTCAGTTTTTGCTGCTGCAGCTGCAGCTGCTGCTGCTGCAGTTGTTCGCCCTGCTGCTGCAGCTGCTTTTCCTGCTGCTGCATCTCCTTTGTCTGCTGCTGCAGCTTGTCCGTTCGCTGCTGCAACTGCTTTGCCTGGTGCTGCAGCAGCACCTCCTGCTGCTTCACTTGCCCTTTAAGAGCAGCCACGGCTTTCCGGAGCAAAGCTGCTGCTGCTTCCTCTTCTTCCCCATCACTCTCACCTGCTGTCTGCTGCTGCTGCAGCTCTTGCTGCTGTTCCTTCCTCCACAGACACTGGCGTAGAAGCTGCAGAACGACAGGGCACACACGCGAGAGAAAGACTCCACGTAGGGAGGTGCGAAGAAAGAAGAAGAAGTAGAGGAGGAAGAGGGAACAGATGTGCATCACCACCCACACCATCGGCAGCAGCAGCAGCAGCTGCAGCAGACATACAAGAGAGATAAGCAACATAGGGGTTGCGGCAGGAGCAGCAGCAGCACCATCATCACCACTACTACCTTCAGCAGAAGCAGCAGCAGCGGCAGCAGCAGCGGACATAGAGGAGGGATGCGATAGGGGGCGTCGGCGGCAGCAGCAGCGGCCGCAACAGCTGAACCAGCAGCCGCAATTCCACCACCAGCAGCAACAAGAACACCGAAATTACAAGCGCCGAGATTACCAGCAACGAGAATACAAGCGGCAGCAGATAGCAGCAGCAGCAGCAGCAACGCAGAAGTAGCAGTTCCATTACAGCTACCCGTACCGGCAGCAGCAGCAGCAGCAATGATGAAGGACACATACGCAATAGAGGATGTGCGACAGCACATCGTAATAGCAGAAAAAGTAGTTGTATCATTCTCACCGTCAGCAGCAGCAGCTATAGTGACGAAGAAGACCCAAGCAGTAAAGAGGCTGCACCAGCAGCAGCAGCGTAGCAGTAGGTACGTTGCCAGTAGCATCAGCAGCAGCTTGCCAGTATCATCGGCAGCAGCTTACCAGTACCAACAGCAGCAGCAGTTATAATTTTTGCAGAACAAGACACAGGCAATCGAGGGGCCATGGCTGCATCACCAGCAGCCGCAGCAGCGGCAATTATGGTAAGAACCAAGGAAACACTGAAGAGGCAGCAGCGTACCTGAAAATTTAGCTGCAATGCTGCCGGCAGGAGCACATATAGCTATATATATATATATATATATATATATATATATACATATATATATATATATATATATATATATGCATATATATATACGCATAGATAAATATACATATATATACATATATATATATATACACATGTACTCACATGACACTCTGGGTATGTGTGCCTGCGAGTCAAAGAAGACAGAAGCCTTGGAGGAGGCAGCAGAAGCGATGCCGTAACAAAAGCAGGAACCGTATCACCGCCAGGACCAGCAGCAGCAGCAACAATCAAAAGAAGGCACAGCAAGGTGGTGCGGCAGCAGCAGGAGAGCTGCCAGCATCGGAACGATAGCAGCGCCGATCGCATGTAACGAAGCAGCTGCTGTAGACTCACGGACAGCACATTTTTACAGCTACTGCAATATATATATATATATATATATATATGTATTTTCCTACCTTTGCGAGTCGGTCATAAGTAGTGGAAAGCTGGTCTGGAGACTGCTGTAACAACAGCAGCCTCTGTCGTGCCTTTATTTCTTGTCCCTTCTGCTGCTGTTGCTGTTGTTGGTGCTGCTGTTGTGTCTGTTGCTTTCGCCATATATAGACGCGGTGAGTGCTTGTTTCCTCCTCCTTCGTCTGTAGGCCAAGAGCATCTCTTTGGTCTGCTGCTGCCACTCTCGCTGCTGCTGCTGTCGCTGCTGTTGCTGTCGCTGCTCGCGGCAGGTGATCTGCCACACATCTGCATGCCTTCGCCATCTGTTCCACAAGCAGAAGCAGCTGTTCCAACTGCCTTATCTCCTCCTTTGTTTTATTTGTCGATGTATCTCTTGCGCTGCTGCGAGCATGCGACTGCAGAAGGAGCAGCAGCTGCTGCTGCAGCTGCAGAAGGAGACGTGCAGGGGGCAGCTGCTGCACCAGATGACGCAGCTGCAACAGCTCCTCGCGCCACTCACGTACAAGTTTCAATGCCGCTGCTGCTGCTGCCGCAGTAGTAGCAGTAGCACTAGTAATAGTAGCAGTAGTAGTAGTAGCAGTAGTAATAGCAGTAGTGATTGCAGCAGTAGTAGTAGCAGCAGTGCATGACGCCGTGCCACCTGTTGTTGTAGCAGCTGTATTCATCTTGTCTGCTGCAGCATCTGGGGCCCTGCCTGCCGCACGTATATATACTGTTGTGCATGCTAGAGCAACAGTCTTTCCTGTCTGCTGCTGCTGCTGCTGCTGCTGCTCTTCATGTATATGAGGAATTATGGCTGCCCCATCTCTAGTGGGGTGATAAATACTTGGAATTGCTTGTAATAGACAGTCAGGGGATTTCGTGTTTCTGTTTGCGTTGCTGCTGCCGCTGTTCCAAGCCGTCACGACGTGGCTGCTGCTCTTCGGCATAGATGCAGCAACAGCAGCAGCAGCAGGAGCAGCAGCAGCAGTAGTAGCAGCTGACAATGTAGCGCCAGGAGGTAGCCGCAGTTGTCTGGATCCATGAGGAGAAGCAGAGATATCATCTTCGGCTACTGCTGCTACTCCTCCTGCTCCACCGTCAGTCCCTGTGCTTGCAGGTCCATAATTGTAACAGCTGCTGCTGCTACTGCTGCTGCTGCTACTGCTGCTACTGCTGCTGCTGCTGCCGAATGTTGTAATAGGATCTCCGCTACCGTGTGCCCCACAACTGTTGGTGGGGCCGTCCCTGTACCAGCAACTGAAACTGCAGTGCTGCTGCTGCTGGTGCTGCTGCTGTTGCTGCTGAGACAGCCGTTGAAGGGGTCCATGCAGCAACAAAGTGTCAGGAGAAGGTTGTGGAGGCGAGGGTGCTGCAGTTGTCGGTGCAGTGGACAAAGCGGAATAAGGAGAGCAGCAGCCTTTCCCTCCATCTCCTCCTCCTCCTGCTGCCATCGCAGCAGCAGCTGCTGCTGCTGCTGCCGTTGGTGCAGCTGCTGGTGGTGATGCTGCTGCTGCAGCTGCAGCTTCCGCGGCAGCAGGACCTGCAGTTCCTACTCGTACAACACCATCAGATGACTTTCCTTTGAAAGCCCACCTCTGTCCTCCTGCTGCGGCTGCTGCTGCTCCTCCTGCTTCTGCTGCTGCTCCTCTTGCTTCTGCTGCTCCTATCCCTGCTGTGCAGCAGCACCGCAGAGCAGGGAGGACAGTTGCTGCTGATGTTTTTCTACCAAGCAGAAAAGATGATGCTGCATATGTCGCCCTCGCACATACGCAGCGTCTTTCTTTTGCGGGGTACACACCAGTGTACTCATCAGGAGATTGGTGCTGCTGCTGCTGGTGCTGCTGCTGCTGCTGGTGCTGCTGCTGCTGCTGGTGCTGCTGCTGCTGCTGGTGCTGCTGCTGCTGCTGGTGCTGCTGCTGCTGCTGGTGCTGCTGCTGTGTGGATCGCTGCTCTCCTGACTGCTGCTGCTTCCAGTACTGCTCTGGTTTGTGTAGCACAGCAGCGAGATCAAGAGCAGCAACAGCAGGAGACATTCTCTCCTCTTCACTTCCTCTCACATAGCGGGAACCGCACGCAAGACACAAGAGTTGGCAGCGCACCAACTCTTGCGAATGTATATCACTTCTATCCTTTACGCTCCGCTCCTGCTGCTGTTCGCCTCTCTTCTGCTGCGCTTCCTGCTGCTGCTGCTGGTGCTGCGTCTTTACGGTATGCTGGTTCTCAGACAGCTGCTGCTGCTGCTGCGTTGTCTGCTGCTGCTCCTCTCCATCGTGCTGCACGGCTGCCTCAACGTGCTGCTGCTGCTGCTGCCGGTGCACAGCAGCACGAGTGGCTCTAACACCGCAGGCCGCAGGTTCAGACTGCGGCTCCAAGTTCCCCATCTGATAATTGCGAAGCTCCTGCAGCAGCAACTGCTGCTCTTTTAGCTGCTGCAGCAGCTGCTGCAACTGTGGGGGCAGTAGGGGGAGAAGCTGCTGAAGTACCGGCATGCCCTTCGCTCTCAGATACAGCGCTTACCTGCTGCTGCTGCTGCTGCTCCTGTTGTTGGTGCTGCTCTTTCTGTTGGTGCTCCTGGATGACCTGCTCAGTTTCTAGCAGCGCCTTCTGTTCTTTCTGCTGCTGCGGTTGCTGTTGCTGCTGCTGTTGCTGCTTCTGCTGGTGCTGCTGCCGCTGTTGCTGTTCCTGCTCTTGCTCTTGCCGCTGCTGCTGCTGTTCTCTTTGCTGGTGCAGGGATGACTTCTGGTGCCCTTGCTGTTGAAGGTCTGCAGATATTGCTGGCCGACACGACACAGCTTGGAGCAGCAATTGTAGTAGCTGCTGGTGCTGCTGCAGCAGCCGTTGCTGTTTCACATACATACTCTCTGCTGCTGTAGACCCTTCTTCCGAGTTTCTCTGCTCTTTCGTGCTGCAGTCCTCCTGTCGGCTGCTTACACACGAAGAACCTTGCTGTTCCTTCTCGCCTCTTGAAGACCGCCCGCGTCTGCTGCTGCTGCTGTGTCTGCTGCTGCTATGTCTGCTGCTGTTATGTCTGCTGCTGCTGTGTCTGCTGGTGCTATGTCTGCTGCTGCTATGTCTGCTGCTGCCCTTACTGCAGCTTACTGTGGCTGGTCCTGCTGCTGCTGCTGCTACATCTGCTGCGGCCTTCTGTTGTGCTGCTGCTACGTCCGCTGCGCCCGCGGCCCCACACGCTCCCCTCATCCTTTCTTCTAAGGGAGCTGCTGCTTCTACTACTATGTCTCACACAAGCTGCTGGTGCTTTTGATCTTCTGGAGCAGCCACCAGTCCCCCACCTCTCCTCCTCCTCTTCTTCGTGTTGTTGCTGCTGCTGCAGCTGCCTCTTGAAGGAATAGTATGAGCGGGGTGCCGGTACGAGTGGTGGCTGCTGCTTTCGGCCTCTTGGCGTAGCAGCAGGAGAGGCTTCTTTCACTCCATCAATTTCTTTCAGTAGATCTACAAGACCTTCTACATTTTCCTCATGTAACAGATGCAGCTGCTGCTGCTTTCGTTGCTGCTGTTGTTGGTGCTGCTGCTGTTGTTCTTGCTGCTGCTGTCTCTGCTTTTCTATATACCGTTCACTACAGTCTCTCCCACGCTGCCGCTGCTGCTGCTGCTGTCTCCAGCTCGGGAGCTGCACACACCCCTGTCTCGCCTGTGTCGTCTCTGTCTGCCCCTGCCGCAGCGGCAATTTCAGCCCTCTCACCCTCCTCGTCATCTGCTGCTGCTGCTGTTGTTGCTGCGTATATAGGTGGGTTTTACTATTAGATTGCTGCCACCCCATACTACTACGTTTCCTGCTCTGCAGCAGAAAGAGACTACCACTGCTGCTGCTGCTCCGCCGGCGGTTGCTGCAGCCCTCAGCGCTGTCTGTACAGCCGTCGTAGATACTATAGGCATACGAATTAAATGGAGGTGCGTGACTACCTGGGCATCTCTTGCAAGAAGATGTACATGCCTCTCTTATATTTCTACATCTCGATGTAGGAGCGGTGCTGCTGCTCCTCCTGCTTCTGTTGCACCTGTCGTTTCCTCTGCAGCACATACAAACAGATGTTGCATGTGTGGGTCTACCACTATAATTGTAGACAAAACTTTCCGCTGTGTCAGAAGAGCAACACCTGCGACGACTTTCCCAAGGTCTCCTCTCTTCCCCATGAAGATGCTGCAGATACTCCTGCTGCTGCTGCTGCATATCTTGCTGCAGCTGCTGCCGCAGTCTCCCTTTCCTGTTGTAGCAGCCGCGTGCTTTCAAGGCACGTATTCTATTGCTGGTGCTCCTACTGTCGCTGCTGTCAGTGCTGCTACTATCACTGGCAGCGCGCTCCTGCCGTCTACTGCTACTTACATATCTCGAATCACTACTGCTGCTGCTATAAAACCGTTTGCTGCTGTCTCCCGGTCCTCTCCTATTGCTTCCGCTCGCCCTCCTCCTGCTGCTGGTGCTGCTCAGTCTTCTGCTGCTAGTGCTCTGTGTTCTGCTGCTGCTTCTCCGCTTCCTGCTGCTGGTACTCAGCCTCCTGCTGCTGCCGTTGCTCACGCTGCTGCTGTTGCTGCTGCTGTTGCTGCCTCTTCTGCTGGCTTTCGGGCAACAGGGACCGCGGCTGCAGCTGCTTCTCTCCCCACGGTGACGGTGACGCCACTTCACTCTTTTAGTAGTGCTGCGCGAGCGGGGGAGCAGTTGCTGCTGCTGCCGCTGCTGCTGCTGCTGTTGCTGCAGCTGCTGCTCTTCATGCTCCCCTTCTTGATATGACACAGAACCAGCGCATGACTTCGGCTGGATCCTGCTGCTGCTGCCGCTGCTCGTCGTGAGGGATGCAGTAGATCGGTGTCTGCTGCTGCAGCCCGTGTGACTCTTCCTGTTGCTATCATCATCCCTCTTGTCCCTCCTCTTCCTCTTTGTGCGCCACCCGTTATCGAGCCGGCTGCCGCTTCTGCTGCTGCTTCTGCTGCTGCTTCTGCTGCTGTTTCTGGTGTTGCGCCCGCTGCAGCTGTTGGTGCTGCTGCTCCTGCTTCTGCTGCTATCGTTACTATCACAACTGATGCTGCTGCCACTGCTGGTCTCGCTGGCCGTCCCTCCCCGCTAATACTGCTCTCGTAACATACCGAGGATATGCTTCTCCTGCTTTTTCTGCTGCTGCTAGACCTCCCCGTTGTCTCTCTATCATTATTTCTCATAACGGTCACATCATAACCACTGCTGTGGCTTTGTGTTCTTCCTCTTTTACTTGCCGCCTCCGTTTCGCCATAGTTACACTTATCTTTCCTTCGTACTTTCTTTGCTGCTGGTCTTTCCGTGCTACTTCTGCTGTTGCTGCTGCCGCTTTTGTTCTTCCGGCTGTCTGCTGCCGCTGTCGCGGCTGCGATCGCCTCCTCCTGCTGCTGCTGAAGCTGCTGTTTCTGCCGCTTCTCTTTATCTGATTCTTCTCTGTGACCTTGATCCTCCTCGGCATCTTGCTGCTGCTGTTGTTGAGGCTTCTCTGCAGCCCCGGCGATGCTTCCTCTCGACAATTCCGCAACAACTCCTTCTCTTCCTCCTTCTTCTCTTTCTCCTTCTTTTCCTCCCGTACTGCTGTTGCTGCTGTTGTTGCTGCTGCTGCTGTTGCTGCTGCTGGTGTTGCTGCTGGTGCTGCTGGTGCTGCTGCTGCTGTTGGTGCCGGCGCTTCCGCCGTTGCTGCGCTCCGGCGGACTGCTGCACTTACTGCAACCCAGTGCATCAGTTTGTGTAGCAGCAGCTTTCATCGTTTCCCCTTCTCTTCTCCTCCTTCGCATTCCGCAGCAAGGACTGTGTGCAGCTGTTCTGCTACTACTACTGCGACAGTGACTGCCGCTACTGCAGGCAGTCGTGCTGCTGCTGCTGCTATAGGTACTGCCATAGGCAGTGCTGCTGCTGGTGCTACTGCTGTAGCTGCTGCTGCTGCTGTAGCTGCTGTTGTAGCTGCTGCAGCTGATGCAGCGCCGTCGTGAAGCACCACATTGCACCTGATCATCTCGTAGATTCTCCAGGTGATGTTCAAGTCTTCTGCTGCTGCCGCTGCCGTTGCTGCTGCCGCGTGCAGAAACAGATATAACATCTGTTGCTGCAGCACCATTGCAGCATATGGCAGCAGTACAGCAGCAGGTTGTTGCATTAGGTCCCTCTTCTTCTCCTTCTACTTCTTCTGCTTCCTCTTTAACTTCTTTTCTTGCATGAGCCGCACACCTGTCATCCTTGCTGGTACTGCAGCTGTTTGATGACAGCATAAACATCGACTCCCTGCTGCTTCTGCTGCTACTGGTGCTGCTACTGCTGCTGCTACTGGTGATGCTACTACTGCTGCTACTGGTGCTGCTACCGCTGCTGCTGCTGGTGCTGCTATGGGTGTTGCTGCTGCTACTGGTGCTGCTACCGTTGTTGCTGCTGCTACTGCTGTTGCAGCTGTTGCTGCTGCTGCTGCTGCTTTTGCTGTTGCTGCTGCTTTTGCTGTTGCTCCCACGTGTACTCCAGGAAGAGGAAGTGCTGTTGTCTCCATGCATCTCTAGCCACTCACATGGTGTCTGCACGCCGTATTCACAGCGATACGGCTTCTCTTCATCTGCTTCCTCTGTCTGCATTCCGCAGTCTCTTAGCAGCAACTGCTGCTGCCGCTGCTGCTGGTACAACAGCATTTCTTCATGAAGGCGCGGTATAATTTTCTTCGTCTGGCAAGCTGCATCTGCATACAGGACAGCCGCCTGCATCGCTGGCTCTGCTGCAGTTCTTACAGCAGTAGCGGTCCTCACAGACTCTGGGGTATGTGCTGCAGCAGCAGCAACTTCTGCAGCAGCGGCAGGAGCAACACCTGCAGCAGCAGCAGCAACATCTGCAGCACCAGCAGCAGCAACATCTGCAGCACCAGAGCGGGAGGCAGTAGCAACAACAGAGTTTGCTGCAGCACTCTGTACTGTGGGGCTTGCTCTGTGAGGTGTTGCTGCTGTTGCGACTGCCGCTGCTGCTGTCGCTGCTGCTGCTGCTGCTGCATCTCTTGCTGCAGACGCATCTCCTTGCCCTGATGCTTCAGTCTCGTCACCGTCTGCTGCTGCTGCTTTGTCGGCTGCTGGAACCTCTCTAAATCCCCCGTCTTCTGCTGCTCTTGACCGATCTTCATCTGTGTCTGTTGATGCTGTTGCTGCAGCAAGAGCGCTTGTGTGGAGTGTAGCAGCATGTTGCTGCTGCTGCTGCAGCAGTGCTCGTGCCTCACCAGCTTCTCTCTGTTGCTGTTCTGCCTCGGAAAGCTGCTGCTGCAACGAAGCTAGCCGTTGCTGCAGGGCGGCTACCTGCTGCTGCAGCTCCTGCTTCTCCAGATGGTAATTTCTCTCCTTCTCGGCTGCAGCAGCACGAGCATCTATCAAGCTACCTACGTTCGCAGTTTGCTGCTGCTGCAGCTCCTGCATCTGCTGCTGCTGCTCCTGCATCTGCTGCCGCTGCTCCTGCATCTGCTGCCGCTGCTCCTGCATCTGCTGCTCCTGCTCAGCTACTTGCTCTCGAAGCCGGTCAATACAATTCCTCTGCAGCTCCAGCTGCACACGCAGAAGTCCGATCTGCTGCTGCAGCTGCCGCTGTTGCTGCTGCTGCTGCTGTTGCTGCTGCTGCGGGTGGTGGTCGTGGGCCAGCCCCGAGAAACGTGCGCGGTCGCCTCCCCCGTCAGCAAAAGTTGACGAGAAGGAACAAGAAGACGAAGAAGAGGAAGAAGAGGAAGAAGAGGAAGGAGAAGAAGAAGACGAATGAGCAGTAGCAGCAGCGTTCTCGAGCAGGCTGCCACTATGTGAACGCGTTGATGCATCATCGTTTTCTGTCTGTGTAGCAGTATCAGTTTTCGCGACTGCGTGCTGCTGCTGTTGCTGCTGCAAGAGTTGCAGTAGAGTAGCAGACCGGCGTATCTGCTGCCGTTTTACGGGCTGCTGCAGCTGCCGCAGCACAGCAGCAGATAGTGTCGCGTGCCCGCCCCCACCTCGCTTATCTGCCACTCCTCTACCTGCTCCTGCTCCTGCCGCTACTGCAGCTGCAGGTGCTGCTGTACCTGCTGTATATGTATCTCTTCCTGTGTCTTGCTCGGCAGCCACAGCAGCAGCTGAAGCAGCAGCAGCAGCCGCAGCTCGGGTACTCGTAGTATGAGTAAAAATATATGCAGAAGCAGCAGGAGGAGGAGTAGATAGAGCAGCAACAGAAGGGGGTGATAAAGGACATAGAAGAAGAGGAGATTCTGCTGCTATCGAGCCGGGGACATCTGTAGCAGCAGCAGTAGCCCCCGCAACAGAAGCAGCAGCATCATCATAGCTGGCTACTGTTGACAGGCCTGCTGTCGTCTGTCTGCGATGACGCTGCAGCTGCAGCTCCAACTGCCGTAGTGATGTCTCTTCTGTAAATGATATACTTCTTCTATATCTGAAAAATGTGCTGCTGCTGCTGCTTGGTACGCTAGTAATACCTGCACTGCCTCTGCTGCTGGCCGTGTAGCCGCTGCTGCTGCTGCTGCTGCTGCTATCGAGTAGTTGCTGAGCACGTCGGCGCCTCCGAGAACGTGCGGAGCTGCGACAGCTACAACTGCGTGTCGCTGCCCCCCTTGCTGCTGCTGCTGCTGCGCCTCCTGCTGCTGCTGCTGCTCCTCCTGCTGCTGCTGCTGCTCCTCCTGCTGCTGTTGTGTTGCTTTCTGCTGTCTCCTCACATGCCGTAGATGTGGCAGCAGCACTACCTGCAGACCATGATGACGACAGCAACAAATGTTCAAACACATCTTCTTCTCCTCTTTTTTCTATACTTTGCTGCTGCAAGAGACGCTCCAGTCTTTTCTGGTTCTGCGCTACATACATTTCTCTACCACGCTGCTGCTGCTGCTGCTGGTGTTGCTGCTGCTCCTGCTGCTGCTCTTGCTCCTGCTCTTGCTGCTGCTCTTCCTGTTGCTGCTGTTGCTGCTGCGCAGCTTGGTGTGGCTGTTTTCCACGCCGCTGCTGCTGCTGGTGCTGCTGCCAATCCGCAAATCCGTACTCGCCCTCCACGCCGCTTAAGCCTGACAAAATACTTTGTTCTTTTAACGGAGGCGCCACTAGTAATCCATTCGTCGCAGCAGCAGCTCCTTCTTCTTCTTCTTCTTCTTCTTCTTCTTCTCCTTCCTGTTCTTCCTCTAGTTCTCTTTCTGCTGTCGGTGTTGATGCTGCAAGAGCCTTTGCTGCCTTTCGAGTGTCTGTAGGGGTTGGTGACGTTTCTGTTGGACTTGCTGCTGCTTTCACTTCTGCTGCTGCTGCTGCTGCTCCTGCTCCTGCTGCTGCTCCTGCTGCTGCTGTTCCTGCTGCTGCTGTTCGTGCTGAAGAAGCAGCAGCAGTACGTGTGGTGGCTATGTCTGCAGCGGAAGATAGGAGTTTTGCTTGTGGTGTAGAGGAGCCCTGCAGCAGTTCCACGAGCTCCTTCATACGGGCGGTTAGCTGCTCATTTACTTGTGAAAGTGCGGCAGATTCTTCTTGTGCTGCAGCAGCAGCATCCCTTAGTTGGTGTATCTCTTGCTGCTGCTGTCGTAGCTGCTGCTCCATTTCTGCCGTTCTTTCCTCCTGTTCTCTTGCTGCTGCTGCCGCTGCTGCTGCGGCCGCTGCTGCCGCAGCTTCTTGTTCTCTGCTTGCTGCCTCTCTCAGGACGACTTGTTGCTGCCGAAGAAGCAGCTTCTCCTTCTCCTTCTCTTCTTTCTCTTGCTGCTGGTGCTGCTGCTCTTGCTTCCGCTGATGCTCTTGCTGCTTCAGTTCCTGCGCCTGCTTGTTTACCTCATCTATATGCTGCTGCAGCTTCTCCTCCTCTTGCTGCAGACGCTGCTGCTGTTGCTGCAGCGCCTCCAGTTGCTGCTGCAGTTGCTGCCTCTCACGCTCCACGCAGTGCTGCTGCTCCCGCATCTCCTGCTGCTGCTCTCGCATCTCCTGCTGCTGCTCTCGTATCTCCTGCTGCTGCTCTCGCATCTCGTGCTGCTGCTGATATACCTCTTGCTGCTGCAGCTGTACTTGTTGCTGCTGCCGCTGTAGCTGCTGCTGCTGCAGTTGTACCTGCTGCTTCTCTTGTTCAATATGGAGT